TACTACTCCTACTACTACTGCTACGAGGACTACTTCTACTACTACTGCTGCCAACACCACCACTACCACCGCAGATCCTCTCTGCGAAACTGTTCAGAGGTCTCCGCAATTCAGGATGTGCTCTTGATTTTCCATCAAGGTACCGAAGGCAAAACCAAATGCACCACGACAAATTGCTCAAGCACTCACTTAGTCGTGCGAAGCTCGCATTCCCACTCGCATCAGCTTCACTCGACTCACAAGCAGCCGCGGATGGCGCTCGAGGTGCTCCGCGAACTTGTTGAGCCTTGCTACACTTTACCGCCAGCGCGGCCCAACAAGTGCAGCTGCAGGGGCTACTTCCGTCGCTTCCCGATTCGAAATCCCAGACATTGATGAACCTGGATCGTTCCAGTCGAAGCTGACCTACTGTTCATGTCCTAGCTTTGAGGGCCAGCGAAAAGTATTTCTTGGCGAAGGCTTTGCATGATGCAAAGTTTTCGATCGCAGCAATTTCACTTAGTCAAGTCTAGTGCCTCCGCATGAACCGAACACATCGTGGACCACAGGTCCGATTCCTCAAGCTGAATCTTCAGAGAGCTTGCCTGTCATTGAACTTGAGAAAACAGTATACGATGTCAGCCGCATTGGTGTTAACATGTCATTTCTTGCCATGTCACCAGCTGCTGTGTCCTACAAACTTTTCGTGGTGTAGCAGCGTATAGATATCTATTTTGCTTGTCCGTGCCTTGTTGAGCTCTGTCAAAGGCTTATATAGCTATTGCCTTGTCTTGGTGGGGGCCAACAGGCGAATCAGATAATGAATCGCCGTAGTTCTTTAGGATGATGCACAACAGATGCACAGCAAACCGAAGTAGAGAAGGGAGCCACTACATCACTACATCAATGCGAGGAGAGCATGTTGTTAAATTCGGATCATCATAGTGACGGATTGTACAGGGAAGTTTGCCCGACTGTTTAGTCTCGTCCATGAACCACAGGTTCCGGATCAAAGAATGAAGTAGGACCACCAAGTTAACCTCAAGGATCGAACAAACTAAAAGCAGTAATCGCCCTAGTCATCAACTAAAATCAATCAAATTTACAAACTCTAAATACAGCATTTCCTTGTGTTCCAAGGCTCCCAAACCTGGAACTGTGGAATTCCCGGTGCTTGCAACATATCATCGTATTTACAACTTAAGTCAAAGCGGCCGTGAGACGGGTTATCTTATCCTACTGATGAACTAGGTGGTGCAGTTCGGCTTCCTTCTCGCGGCATGCTACTGGAGAATTGTGTGACTATCCTGGATTTAGACAGGAAAGGATCTCGAAGCACTGCGTTTTGACATCATGAAGGTCTTCGTAGAATGACTGCCAGGCCTACAAGACAAGTTGGTTAGCGGGGTGGGCGCAGCCTGCCGCACTTGCAAACACAATGCTCGAGTGACTGGTTTTGAAGGGTATCGAAGCAATTCCTCTCTTTCTTGTTAGCATGTGGTTCCGGAACGCAAGTTGTGCAACGCGTTAACAGAGGGGCCTGCATTTGCAAAGCATAATGCTCGGATCGGCTTGAAAGGGTTTTTCTGGTAATTGAATCTGTTCCTCTTTTGATGGCATGAGACCCTCGGTTGCTAGTTCTTACGGTCCAGGGTTTAGGGTTTAGGAGTAGCGTTAGTAGTCGTCGTCGCCATCAAACTAGTAGGTTGAGGTTTAGGCTTGGAGTTGGATGTAGTGCTTCAAAGTGTCTGCAGGCCCCGAGCTCCAGACCATTGAACCATACTGCATTGGTGTAACAGTAGTCTTGGAGTAATAGATGGCTGGCCTCGTAGAAGTAGCAAGCGTCGTCACAGTGTCTCGGTTTTGGCTAGTGTTGTTGGAACTTGTTTCTTTCTTCTTTCTTGTCTTGATGCCCCGCGTTTCCATTCTGATGTTCGGTCGTTGCTTTCGTCGCGTGTTCATGGTTCTGCATGTTTCCTCTTGCAGCACTTTTGCTCTTTCTGTATTTATGGGTGTCCTGCGCTCCTTGTGACATTATGTTGCTCGTTTCTTCCATCTCCTTGTTTTCTGTACTCCATCGAGGATGTCTTTCGTGCCTTCTTTATTCATGTTTTCACCTGCTTTCAGCACAACATCTTGTGACTTGCTTGTTGATGCCCATCCCCTTTGAATTAGAATGATCCGGCTTATGCCGTCCCCAAATACAAACAGCAAGGTGGCTGGATAGAAACAACAGTGTTCTTCTTCTTCTTGTCGTGGCTGCTGATGCTGCTGTTGTTGTTGTTGTTGGTGGTGGTGGCGGTGGTCGCGGCGGTGGTGGTGGTGGTGGTGGCGGTGGTGGCGGTGGTGGTGGTTGTCGTGGTGGTGCTGCTGCTGTTGCAGTTACGTGGCCGCTGCTGTTGCCGTTGCTGCTGCTGCTGCTGCTAGCGGTGGTGGGTGTGGGGTTGTGTTGTTGCTGCTGATGCTGTTGTTGCTTTTGTTCCTGTTGCTTGCTGTTGTTGTTACTGTTGCTACTGTTGTCGTTGTTGTCGCTTCCTGGTCAATCTGACATCTTCGCTTCTGAAGCTTCCCATTGCTTACGACTCTCACCAATTCAGCCAAAGAGACTCTTTCAGGTGTCGGGCATGTGTCGAGCCATTCGGTGGGGATGCATGGCGCGCTTCCTCAGAGCACTCATCTGCTTGCAGGCGGCCTATCCTGCCTAGTTTGGGGCAGACGTCTACGAGAAGACCTGGCGGGAAGAGTCTTGTTCGTCAGGCCCAATGGCCATCCATGACCCATGGTCCAGCAGAAATCAATTGACATGCACCGTAAGCAGAAACAACTGACAACCCCAGCACACACTCAGCTTCAGGGCAAGCACCACGACCACCACAACCAGGACCAGCATGACCACCACAACAGCAACAACAAGATGCCAGAAATCATGCGACAAGGGCGACCACAGCTGCTAGAAGTGGAAGAACAAGATCAGAAACAGTGCTCCCTACGACCTACGAGAACACTCAGCAAGCTTGCGTCCGGCCCGTTCATCTTGCTGGCAAAGTTCTGTGGCAGTGCAAGTCATCGAATGGTAGCTGTTCTGCCGTTCCTCATCACAGATAGACTGCGTGATTGTCAGGACCACTGTGGTGAATGCCGAACCCAGCTGCTGCGGAAACATCTCTCGTGCACCCACATAGGCCGTGTCCGAAGCTGTACACACTGGCACCTGCACCTCTACATGGCCACATACAACACAAGCTTGTTGAGATGCTCGATCTACAATCCAAAGCGACCGCAAAAAGCCAAGCTGCTCCGAATGGCACTGATCGGACTGATGGGCCACCAGGGCCCTGACCGCAGGTAGGTTTTAGGAACGATGCACCTCTAGTTTGCTTGCTCGGCTTCTAAAACCCATCGACCGTTGGAGGTCACCTTTTTAACCCAAGCTAGGCACTGCCAGAAGAGATAAGTCGGGCGGCCGCATAAAGAATGGTGTGCCCCGGCATCGTCTCTTCGACACCTGACTTGCCAAAGCTAAACTAGACAGTCTTGCTCCGATCTGAATGATCTCTCTTGTGGGGCTTATGGAAGCCACTTCACTGAGGGCTGTCTGCCAGGCTGATCGTGGCTGCCTTGTCCGGGGCTGGCCGTAATTCCCGTAACAGTAGGGTCACTCAGTACGGTGCAGACCGGAATGCTTCAACTAAGAAATGCCGGCGCAAAAAGTGAGACTCATGACGCAGACTTTTGAGTATCTGAGCCTCCGGCGAGCACTCGATGAACAGCCCATGACGTCGGCTTCGGGGCGTCTAAGTGGGAAGCGAAAGCAAAGGTACAAGCACTGCAGCTGCTGACACTGTCGATTCCCGTGCCGCATTGAACCCTCCCCCATCTTTCAGCACACTTAACAGTCGGCGGCCTTCAGCTTAGCTGCCGCTGCGAAGAAGGCAGAAGGCAAGGGAACAAGCGGCAGGAAACCGTTACTTTGATCTGCCGATGCTGCGGTGATGCTGCAATCAACCTCCCTCTGCAGGGCACCCCATGTGACTCGTTCACTTGATGAAACTCTGCCATGCCAGAGATCGTCCTCCTTGTTGGCCAGCTGCCTTCGGAGAGATGCCTGCTGTTTCCTCATGGTGGACTCCTTCCCGTGCAGGCCAAGGCCACAGGGGCAATTTCGACAGATGTCACTTGACCACCGGTATCGGGGGTTCCTCAACATGCAGAATCTTCGGACAGCTAAACAACTTACAGTTTTCACTTGCGAGATCTCCGGTGCCATAGGAACCACAGGTGCACATGTGTGTTGCGTTCTTGTCAGTCGGCATTCCACTGAACGGTGGAACCTGGTGCTTCTGGCGCTCTTTCTGGAGCTCTGCCTGGATCTTTCAGCAGCAACAGCAGCAGCATCAACCGCATCTATGAGGCCTATATAATTGCTAACAACGTCCCGATAGACTGACTGTCATATCACACCATGAAATGACAGAAACATCAGTGACATCACTGGACATGACCAGCCTCGAGCTCCGTGGCTTTGCGCTGCCAGTTTTCGGCCGAAAGTCGGTTCTGCTCCGCAACGGCCTCAGCGGTGTCACTGGAAACGCGGCGCTGGGAGCTTCAGGTTGGGGGCCAGGCGTTGTGCTGCAGTGCCAAGTCTGCATGCCGTTGTGCCTCGGCCACCTGAGGGTCAAAATCAGCAAGTAAGCGCAAAAAAAAAA